AGCAGAGGTAGACTAGCAAATAGGGATGGACCATCAGGGAGAGAAATACGTGAAATTGACATTTGAACGGATAGGATTGTTTCACTAACAATAAACAACAAACAATGTTTTGGATGCCATAAAGCAGAGGCATCAAGAAACTTCTGCATTGGATAGCGGTAACATGGAAAATAATATCTCCTGTGGCCCGGAACCCGTCAATGACCAATATCACCACCCCCATTTTGATTTAGTCTTTCAACCCACTGACCATTGGGCGCTTAGTGAGATGAACTATGTTTCTCGGTGGTACTCAGGATGGCAAAATCACCTCTTCGAGTTCCTTGCCTCTGCTATGGTGGAGCAAGACTGAGTTTGTCCATAAGATATTAGTGCCCCCCTCCGCTAGAGCAGTTTTAATGGTTCCCTATGCTAAGTTGGCATCTCGGCCTGGATCCGCTTTCACTACCAAGGAGGAACTCCGGTTCTTTGTCTCGCAAGCGAAGCGATTGCTCAAAAGCACGGTTTGTTATATCTACTCTTCAAAGATATGTCTGAGATATCAGCCTGAGGGTTAATGCTCTCATGGCACGGGGGTGTAGTGTGGGTTGTCCCAATCTAATACACTTGGTTGAACAGTCTTGTATTGCGTGTAACCTCTAAACCAGAAATAGGCATAGAAACCCCTCTAGGATAAATGAAATTTTCAACTACTAATGCTCGTGCCTTGTGGAATTACTGCGGGCAGCCTCCTTTGACATTAGAGGTTATTGAATAACACGGCACATGTCTTTTGTTCCACCGGGATACCCCAGCCAAAAAAAAAATGGACTCATATCATAGAAGTACTGATAACGCCCTGCTGGTACATTGAGCCAAGATCGAAAGCATAGGGCTAGGGATTGACGAACCCAGGATGGAGGCCTTTGGTTGTAGGGATGCCCTAGACCCCTTGTGACCATGGCGATCCCCAGGATAAGGAACTGTTACAGAGCGATAAGTCCGCCCTGTTTGCACTTCTCAATTTAATTAGCGGCACAGTACGACACTGCACACTCATTCAAGGGTACTGATTTCGGGAGAGAAGCAAGGGGAAGAGGAGCGCCTTATATCATCCACTCTCACTCGACAGAAGCATGTGAGAATGGAGTTCTGCCCCAACACGGACCCGAAAGTCCCTTCCCGTTGGTGGAGTAAAGTCACAGGTATCTGGGATACCTTTGCCAGTATTCCGCCGACGAAATTAAGGGTGCACTGCACCGTAAATTATTGGGCGTAAGTCGCCCTGAGAATCTCAAATGGAGTTTCACTTTGCAGGGTTCCTGGAAATGTGGGGCTGAACTCACCTCACTTACGGTACAGTACTGTACAGCATTTGGGCGGGGGGTAGCAGGTGAGAAAATCAGGAGTTACGAGTCATATGCGCTGTACACTCTGTGCACCAAGGGCTGACAGACAAGCTTCTTCTGTAAACGGTAAGTTACCTTACCCTCATGAGGGACATTCTACGAACGTACTGTACTGTACCGTACACACCGATACCCTACTGAAGCACGATTTTATGCATCGCGCATACATGGACCTTGTGTCTCCAAGGCCGAGAAAATGGATTTGATACTCAAGTTATCTCGTCGCCTAAATACAGGATGGATGCACTCTTCCAGGATGCCATTTTCTAAAGGGGACCCCACGGTGTTTACATTATTTGAGGCTCGATCGTCGGGGATACACCCAAACTCCTTATCAGGACGGCATCGTCACCCCTCTTCCCCGGTGGCAACCAGGTATACCCCGATCTAGTGGTGCCGAGTCGGACAATAGTCATTCCAGGCGCGTGTGGAAACAAGTCCTGCTATTGCGGGGGAGGCAAGGAGCTAAATCCGTGCAATCGGAGGTACAGTACCGGTACTCTACAAGTGCTCGACTATCCTTGGGGCCCTCGCCTAGAACGAAGCGCGGAATTTTGATATTTTTGATCGACCACCCCTGTTGAAACAAAGTCCGTGTAAACAGCCGCGGTCTCCGTAAAACGCCCCCCATGCTGAGTGATAGACATTTTCACTCACAAACAATCCCAAACCTCTTGTTATTGGGCCTATTGATACGCTGGAAGAACGCCAAAGGGGCATAGTTGTGCCTTGATCTGCGCTCGGAGGAGCTCTGATTTTCCCGGGGTTTTCTTCTCGAAATGGTGCAAGGCTGGTGTCAATTGTCCGCCCGAAAAGACCGCTCGCCTTGACCCAGCCACAGGCGGAAAAAGGGGGATCGATCTATCACCGCGCTCTGTACTCGAGTACAAGAGAGTATTCGAAAAAGAGACTGACAATGCACCAGGGCCGACTGCAACGGAGGAAGCAATGTGGCTTTCACCGTAGGATGGTCAGCGGTGATTGAGCAACCAGACAAGATTCAGTGGAGCAACGGGCGATATTTTTTTCCTTCCTATGATCGTATCGGGATTCTAACAAATTTTCTATAGAGTACGAGCACTCAAGCATTCCGGTACGAGAGGGGGACACCACAGGCCCGGTAAGTCAAGCCTTGGGTCATTTTCACTGCTTCGCTGTCTGCGGCGAAGCCCTAGCCCTAGGAAGGAAGCCATCGCGGAGCTAGCCAGTAATGAGGAGCCGACTTTCAAGGATGTGGCTTGGAAGGCGCGAAGGATGGCGTAAGTTGACGCGTACGCGCAATCACTTGACTCTGGATGAGGGTGGGATGATCAAGTGTTCCTACTCGTACAGTACGGGATGATGATTGCAGTTGGCAACCTTAATGGCAGCGGAGCTCAACCTTAGACTGAGCACCGGTACGGTATGGTACGGCACTGTACCGCACTTTGTCACCGTCTTTTTTTTTTTTTTTTCCCAGTTTGGTGTGGCTGTGTTGACTGCGTTGTGCTGGCCGTGCAGATGCTCGCAGCATGCAAGCCGAGCGAAGAGTTTGGGATGAAAATTCCCTCCAAGTGCCTGTATGGTCCAAGTGCATTTATCGGGATATCATACGGCATTTCCCCACCGTCCTTTCGGAAGGGAAGGAAATATTGGGGTACGACACCGGCATCCATTGGAGCTGATATTTCCATCAGCCACATGTGTTTGTGCGGTTACATTATTGTACTCGAGTGCCGTACCTGTACGGATGCCAGCTTTTATCGTTGGAATGATCAGGTTCAGTGTGGAAGGCGCTGTACCGGTGCTCGAACATCTTCGCTGTTACCACGCTGTACTCGTACTTGTGCTCGCTCTCCCCCTTCTGAGATTCTAAGACTTATGGTATCGGGTAAACCTACCGACATTTACTCTGAGTGCTGTGCCAGGAGTACAGGCGCGGTGCTGCGAGTACCGTACGGTGCCGTAGTAGTACTGTAGTTGGATAGCTCAATTCATCCTGAGAGAACTTCATACCGTAATTGATCGAGTCTTTACGAAGGTTAATTCCCATGTTGCTGGGCGAGCGAGGTACAAGTACTCGAGTACAGGCGGGAGTGTACCCCATTTAGGATACGATACCGTACTAGTGCAGTACCGTATTCTCTTAAATTCGCCTTCGGTGCCTGCGTATGTATGCACATGGACTGGCAAAAGATTGCTTTTTTCTCTTGGTAAACTTTGATTTGAAACGCAACGAGTTCACCCCTTGTAATTCGGGCGGTAGAGATGAAGGGAGGATGGATGTGATGAACAGTTCTTGCCACCCGCCCCCCCCCTCCATCTTTGGCCTTTTGCAATAGTTTCACGAGTGTGGGTGATGATGGTAGTTGTGGTGGTGGTGGTGGTGATACAACTTTTTTTTCGAATGCCACGTTGGATACCGAATGCTCAGTCTGGAGCACGTAGTGGGTCACGTTCTCGGTTCTTGCAGACTCTAATTTACCGTGCGATGGGTGCAGAGTGGGAAACCTTGTTGAAGGGAGTGGTTGTGAGAGAGCGAATGATGATGGAGATGATGATGGTGATGATGATGATGATGGGCCAGAATATTGTTATCATGTTTCCCGGGTTGCATTCCGCTCTGGATTCGTGATTGGTCAGAGGAATCGGTGATCTTGTAAACAGAGTTCACGGGGGTTTTGAGGGTATGCTATGGGTACTGTAGGAGCAATCAGAGATTTCATCACGGAATATTTGTATTGCGTGTACTATATGGGTACGGGTTTGGGCAATTCTTTTCCGTGAGCTTCACTCGGGGTTCGGTTGAGGTTTGTTGACGCGGAAGCTGACGTTTTCGGGGAAATGCTGCTGGAAATGATGCAAGAACTGTGCATGGTCCGAACTCGGAGCCTTACTGTATCTGAATTACGAGTATAGCCATATAGCCGTGAAGAAGGGTACTCGTACTTGTCCTAGTACTAGTACGGGCATCGGTACATGCGGTACCCCAGTCTGGCCAGGGAGGCTGTTTACTTCAAAGAAACCCAACAGGTGAGTGAGGCTCTGTGGAGCGGGAGAAGGACGGAGGGAGTCGAAGGGCCATTGGGTTTGTTGCCTTTTTTGCCCTCTCATCGCCTCCGATTTTGTGGCCCATCAGCCCCTTCGTTCCCCTTCGTTCCCCTTGATCCTCCCCTTCCTCTCTTCCCCTTTCCTCCGCTCACTTTTCACTGGTTTGATTCGGCTACGGTGGTTTGGTCACTCGTTCGGGCTCATCTTTGATCGTCGTTCTTTTTTGGGTGAACTGCTCGCTTTCCCCTGTTCTACGCCTTCTCCCTTCATTCATTCATTTCATCATGTTCTGAGCTGTTTTCCTTCCTGCGGTATCCTGCAGCATTTTTTACATTTTTTTCTCCCAGGAAGAACACCGGCTTCATTCGTTCGCCTGTTCGGAGAGGGTTAGGAAAAAAAAAAAAAAAGAAAGAGTGTGGGAAAAGGTTTTATCTGTTCTGCTCGTTTATTCGTCTTGATTGCTTTTTTTCTGCCCTTTTCTCCATAACCCTCGTAACTGTAGCCACCCCAGTCCGAGACACCGATATCAATTCCCCCCCCAAATTGATTGGGCCAATCACTCCTGGTCTCGTCCGGCTCCAGATGGCCTCTCGACAACAAACCGCAGCCCTCTTGGCCAACGCAGCATCACAATCACCGCCAGTCACAGCAACCCTAAGTCTGAGGGCAGGCCGGTCGAACAACGCGCATCGACCTCCCTCGGGGCCCACCTACAGCTGCGACAATGCCCGTAATAGCAGTACCCTCCTGTCGGATCGGCCAGCCAAGAGGCTTCATGATCCGCTGTCTTGCGTACACGATGCAGCTCACACAACAGGCGGCCAAGTGGCAGCAGGGCCGGGTGCAGGGCATGGGGAGCCTACTCCCTTGGTCTCTCCTCCTGCTTCTCCCTCACAACATTCTTCTGTGCTTCCTACTTGCACTATAGCTACTACTGGACTGGCCCGCAATTTCCCAGGCAGGCTTGCCGTCCAATCACGGCCCATCACACCCACTCGGACCAGTTCCGCTGCCGATGAAACGTCAACTTCTCGGCCACCACCGTTGTCCTCTACTGTTTCCTCTTGGCCCTCCGTTATCGAAGATTCCCCTCCGCCTTCCTCCTTGTCGTCAAACTCTTTCCTCGAGCCACCGTCGAAGGACACGGAATCACCCACGCCGCACGGCCTACCCTCAGCTCGACATTCACAGACTCCAGTAGTCTGCCCCGTCTCGCTCGTGCACAATTTTTCAGCGAAGTCACCTTCTGTAGCAAAAGCAGGGCCAGCACTGTTTAGCGATAGCAGCAATTACAGCAGCAACGGCGATAGCGGTAACGAAAAAGCGGCGGGGGAGAATAACCGGATACACCAGCAGCGATTGCTGTACAACCCATCTCGGGCTCCATCCCATTCTCCTCTCTCCCTCGGCACCACATTCGTCCTTCCGGAGTTAGACCTAGGTTTGGACCTGGATCGATTGCACGGCGGATACTTTGACCGCACAGCAGATACTGCGCAGCTTGTTGCGATGACTACTTCAACCTTCCAGTATACCCCTCCTTTTCAACCTCCACTGCCCCCTCCGCCCCCGTATTCCGAGCCCAGTGCCGGAGGGAGATTTTCGTCAGACCTGGGCTTCCCGAGGTCTGGGGTGGATGGATTCAGTAGTCCAACCGCAGACAGCTTACACGATGGTGACAGTCCTAGGCATTTCCGAAATTCTCAGCAGTCTGCTATGACACAACCCACTCCGGCGCAAAGCTTTTCTCGAAAGGTTTCCACAAAGATTCGGGGCTTTTTAAACCACACCCACCGAAGCAGGAGCCCAAGTTCGCGAAATAGCATTGCAACCGTTGCGACCGTATCCGAGGATAGTCACATTTCATCATCCCTCGCTGTCGCCAATGATAATAAGGGGAGCAAGGGTGCATCACCTGTGGTTGTACCAGTGGTGGCTGCTGTGACTACAACCGTGACTGCTCCCGTCACCACCTCTGTCGCCGAGCCCATCTCCTCCACGGCAACGATGGAGGTGTCCGCCAATGCTGCTGTGGATGATTTCATGGATGCTCCCGCTGCCATGGAGGTTCCCGTTGCCATGTCGATGATGGATGCTGTAGATGATCGTCTCAAGTCTCAAGAGTCTCAGACCTTTGATGGTCATATTCCGATAATCAACGGATGTCAACCAGATTGTGAGATCCGTTCCGGCCATTCTTCATATATTTCGTTGGATTCTCCAACGTTGGCCACTGAGTCTTCCGGTAATCCCAGCAATCGCAATTCATTCAGAAGTTTTGTACAGGAGGAGCGACCGCGGTCGAGGTCTCCTGAAAGCCCCGTCACGCCGGATGATGATTATAGGTTTAATAATCGGATGCCAGATTCGAAACCCAAATACCATGCCGCGGCAGAACTGCAGACGGACGATTCTCGCGATGAGGAGAGCACCCATGATGGCGTCGAATCGCAGGTTGTGCAGGTGTACCTGGATGAGGGGAATGGATCGGGGAATGGTATGATTCCTTCGCTTCACATCGAGACACCGTCTCCCTGCAGACTTCATCCAGATCATCCAGAATCGTTTATAGCCCCGCGGCCCGCACCCCGAAGTCCCCGGAATCGTCCCGCCTCGATGCGTTCAAGATCCCCAAGCCCGGCTCCGATACTGAGCCCTTTGAAGAGTTTACTCCCGGAGTCGGGCCGAGAGACCCCGTCCTTTTTAACGCCAAGGCCTGCTCCAACCACTCCGACACCCTCGCCCGGTTATGGTCCAATAAAGCCTTTACGATCTCCCACCGAAGCCGGACCGAAGCTTCTCCGACACAACACTTTTTCCTCTAGGTCAGCTGGAGCAAATCCTACACGAGCACCCTTGTCGCTCAACCCTCTTGCACGAGCTCAGGCCCTTCAATACCCACGACCATCCACTGCCACCGGCCCGGCTGCGGAAGTTAGAAGTTTTAGAGAAGTATCGTCATTAAACCGCGTGCTGCCCCCGCCTGGGAGGTTGAAGGAGCACGATGAGATCTCTATCATTTCGCTTGGTCCCCCAGGCAGCCCGAATCAATTGCATGATATCGAACATAATTTCCCCCCGATGCCGATGCCGAGTTACGCTACATCGTTAAGGAAATCAGGTTCAATTCGCTCAGCTTCTGGAAGGGCGCTTGAGATTGCTGTTCCACCACCGTTAGATTCTCGAAGTATCTTTGATTCCAGAAGCATGTTTGATGGAAGGAGTATTTTTGATAATCGTAGTATTCTTGGCGCTCGAAGTGTGAAAACTGCTTCGCCAAGTACAATTCCGGATGATTTCAGGAGTATGACATCGCCAAAATACCATCCCGACGATGCACCACTATCACCGACTGTCTACTCACCAGACATAGATATGATTGAGGCAGATCATCCTCCACGAACGCCACCAGCGGAGGCCGAGGTTATCCCTACGCCGTCAACCTCGCCGGCTCTTGCACCCACCACCGTACCCGCACCAGCCGCGTGCCTAGTGCCGCCTCCCCCCGAAGTGAAGCGCCACAGCACGGTTGGCAAAGGGCTCCGGCGAGCGTTTAGTCGCCGGAAATCTGCCAATAAGCGTACGACCGGGCCGATAACTGGAGAGATAATTTCCCGACCATCTACTTCGGCTACTGCTGTAACATCTACAGATGCCACCCCGGAAGACGAGCTGTTAGACAACCTGTCCATGAGGAGTCGATCAATGATGAACCCATTGACTTCTCCATCCTCACCCACGGTCTCGGTATCCCGCTGGAAGTCTGTACGCGGACGAAGCTCGTCCACCTCATCAAACCCCACCCCATCCTCTCAGCCAGCGGCAATCCTCCCACCGAAATTCAAATTGGCCTCGGTTCCGGAAGCCGAAAAACTTAGCCCGGAAAAATTGATCGAGATCGCGCGAATGCCGGGAACAATATTTATTAGGACGAGCATGGTCAAAGAGGGCGCCGACCCGGACTCCACGAACGAGGAAGATCTTATCCGCCAGGATCACAGAATGAAGCCAAGGAAAGGAATGGCCGGAACCGGCGTTGCGGGAAGCTGTAGGTTCTGCGGGAAGGGGCCGTTTGTGAATATGTGGGTGTGCACGGATGAATGCCATTTTGTCATGTGCAGGATGTGTGCGAACGAGAAGGTTCAGGCGGGAGAGGCGGAGTTGTTTTGAGGAGTTTGTGTGTGGGTGCGGTGTGTAGTGTAGGGGAGGTTGGAAGAATTGGCAAAGTCCTGGCATATGGTGATGATAATTGTTGCATAGCGTGGTTCTATCTTTATTTTCCTTTTTGCTTTGTTTAGTCAAAGTTGGCTTTTTACTCCCATCTTTTCTCCTTTTGTCACGACGTTGGTGGTGCTGGGAGTACTGTCAGCGAGCTGATATTACCAACGGATGGGTGGATCGGTGGTCCGACACTCCCGTGACGGGAACCGCAATTTGAGGAAATATGGTCTGGCCTGGTCTGGAATTTGGGGTGGGTATATCTTCTGCATCTGGGCGTTTATTTCGTATTATCTTCAACTTTACTTTGTCTATTTTTTTGTTTACACCTGACTTCACATTCGAACCACATATCTTTCTGATTTATTCTGTCTCTTGCTGTTTATTACGTTTTCATTTATATGGAAAATCCCTTATCTGTAGTTATTTGAGTAAACAGGTTTTTCTTGATTGCGTTCTGTTTTGTTAAAAACTGATATCTGCTGTGTGTTGGGTCGATTGGTTGGTTTGTTGCCTCCCGGATGCGGGGGTGTGGTGTGCAACGAGAGGTTTAGGATTCTGGGATAAACATGAGCGTAGTGGCGCGGTGTAGTGCTAGGCGTAGGAGGAAGTGAGAAGAGGGTGAAACTCATGATGCGATTGGGAGCTGTACTGTACGCTTGTTCATGAGGACTCACTCGGGGATCTTGATTCATTGTTGTTTTGCTTTTTTTTGACAAGAGAAAAGAGTAATGGTACAATGAATCGAGATTCTAGTTCCTTGCTGTTGGTCACGCGAGGTATGTTAGTTTCGCTCCTTGAACCAGTACAGTGCCTGAGGGAGGAACATTGTCCACTCCCGTAATACAGTGGACATTGCTGTGCCCTTTCCCCTACTGTTATGAAAGATAGTTTGTGCACCACCTCCTCCCAATGGTGGGCGTTTGGTGCGGCATGATTGCTTTGAAATTACAATTACAGTTCGGATACTTCAAATAGCGCAAGAATCCCGCGTTTTGGGATCGCGCCGTGGCGACTTCCCCTCCCCTTTGGCCGTAATTTTGCTCATATCATACCGTCCTCATGTGACTCGTTCTGGTGATTGGGGCGAGTATCGTGAGAAAGGGGGGGGGGGATAACTGGGAAAAAAGTGTGGCGTGGACCGCTGATATCGGTAACTCAGTATCGCGTTAGGGGGAATGGCTGTTTTCCGGGTACGATGGCATCACTCCTTTTGGGAGAGCAGGGAAGAGAGAAAAAGAGGGAGGAAAGGACCTCCTCACAAGGAATACGGTAGGTGGCGTATTCCCGCCATATACGTACATGCCCGACGATGGCGGTGGTCGGCGCGTGGGTTTTTGCTGGGTTAGAAATGAAGGGTCGAAGTTAATGTTATCATACAATCATATTGGGGTATCGTGATCATGCGCCTTGTGATCAGAGTGGTGTTACCCCACACTCCCCTCCCCTCCCGTGCCCTAAGGTAGCGCTTGCACAGATCCCTGCACGGTATACACAAGGACTTTTTGTATTCTATTTGGAATGTACGAGTAGTGTACCGTGCTATAGATAAAACGGGGGGGGGCTGGTATGACCGTAGGGGGGTGTTCCTGAGGTATCATGATGTACCGTGCCCGTCCGTATTGTAGAAGCACTTGTACTACAACACGGCCTCGGGAATTTTGTTGCCCTTTGGTTGGTGCTAAGCTTTTACTCCTATCATATGATACTAGTATCGTAATATTACCTCGTCCCCCTTCAGGGTTTGGCTTGATCTGTGGAGTTAGCAGTTAGGTAATTTAACTTGCTTCTTTAGGAATTAGGTCAAGGAGGAAACTTATTGTTCTAGGCCGATATTAGGGAGTAACTTAAGGGGTTTTCAGCATGGGACAAGCGGTAACTTGAAGGTATTGTATTAGCATGATCACTTACCTATCATAGGATGCTGTATTACCATACTAACTCACTCAATTGGACCTCGTGCTAGTAGGTTGAAATAAGGTGAGCTAAGAAACTTACATAATCTAACCCTTAATATCAATTTCATATTGCTAAGAACTCTCAGACACATCGAATTCAACCTCCACATTACCCAAATCACAATCTTCCTCTACCTCCTGCTGCACTCCACCCCTTTGCCAATCCCTCAGGCCATCCATCAAATAATCTCTATCAATTCCCTTGATAGAGAGATTTTGTGATCTCAGTTTCCATTGAATTGGAAGGGATAAGCCAAGAATTTGGAATGCATTGGTTACAACTTCACTTTGCTCTTGGAAAAACCTTTCCTAAGTCTCCCCTACTACCCAGGTAGAAAGTACCCTTCACTGTTTGATCATGCTATTTTCTAACATCTGGTCAGCCAATAAGATCTTTTCTTCCTTAGCCTCAGGTTTATCTAACTTTTCGTCTAATACATCCTAGGTTCTAATTAGCTTATATTGCTCATAAAGTATTTTTTTTAAGAATGAATGGAAATTATAAGAACTCAAACTAATAGGTTATGTGATAGTAGGACATGAGAGGAAAGTACTTTTAGAATGAGCATATTCCAATCCAGACTAGGCAGTCATCTAATATGGCTAGACATCATTCTTGTAAGTTGATGAAAATTTGCATGAGGGGGTAGTAAAGTCCTTTGCTTTTTTGTCTTAGTTCATATTTGACAGAAGTATAACTGTTCTGAAGGACTCCAGTACTGGCATATCACCCATCCCCATGCAGGTTCAGGACAGAACTATACTACTTCCTCCTACTCCCTTCAATATACTTTTCTCTGACCTACCCATGCATCCGCCCTCTCCTCTACTTCTCTACCTCCTACCCATATGGCTTCTAACACATCCCTCCAAGAACTAGCAACACCCTACCACATACTCCTCTAAGAGCTATTTGCTTCTGCTCTTATGTGTTTCCTTGAGGCTTACCTGTATTGCTAGAAATTTTAGACTACCTATCACATGATCTATTTGTTTAAGTTTAAATAAGTGAGTCTTACTTTAAGTATGTCTTTAAGAGATTGATTAACTGAGATGTCAAGAGGCTGAACTAGGAAGGTACATCCTTCAAGCACTGTGCTGGTTGTAATATCATAGGCAAGAAAAGAATCCCTTACATCCTCAGTTTTATGAGTAGTAAAATGATCAAGTATAAGCAATGTAGGCTAACTATTTAGTACAAGTACAATCTGTTCCTCAACCCATTCAAGAAAGGTTATTGAGTTAGCATAGGCCTTCTTATTAAACTTTATACTTACCTATAGACCATACCTTTGAGTTTTAGTAAGTATCCTCTTTCCTAGTCCCTGCTCTTTGAAAAAGATCAAAGGCTTAACTCATGGAATACTAATAGCAAAAATAATTAATTAAATAGTTGCTTGGTACTTGTTGCATCTACTCTAACTCTCCTGAGTCCATACAGTACATTTACCTTTCTGCCAGTGATTGTATATTTTTCCAGCCAAATACTCAAACAGTATTAAGGTGTTAAGAATCCTACCGAGTAGGACCTGGCAACAGGTAACGATACTTCTCTGTAAGGTGATAGTTCTCAGGCCTCTGCCTACGTGATCACAATAGTCCAGTCCCGTGACTACTATCTTATTCGCGCCTATCTCCTTATCCTTCTTCTTAGTCCTCACTCAGGACTCAGTCGTTCGACGTGGGAGGAGAAATAGTTTTCTTGCTTGAGAGGAAAGACAATTCTTGGGTTTCTTAAGATAAATCTTAAAGAGCGTAAAAGTAGGTTTTATTGATAATAACTTGAAAGTAGGAAATAAACAAGAAGAACGTGTGAAGAGCTAATACTAGGGGTCCTAGTGACCCTTTATATAGTAGCTCTTCACCTGGCGTGACTCATACTCATACGTCACGCGAGCCTTATGACTCATAACTATAAATCACCCAAAATCCCTCAGCCGACTCCTATGAGTCGCTGCGCAACATGCCTAAAACCAATCAAACTATAATAACCAAGTTGGATGCGCAATTCGCGTCACCTGAGTGAAACCCATGACTCATAAGTATAAGTCATGTGCAAAACTTCATAACATCATGTGACTCATAACTGTGAGTCACGAACAGGTAAACATAATAACCTATGGTACACTAGTGTGTATCATGTGAAATTCCTAACATACTTATAGCTCGGTATTGCGAGCTATGTAAAATCTGCTTTTGCTTAGTCACAGTTTGTGACATAAGGTTTGATTCATATTTGTAATATTAGAAAGCTGATAGCATTCTGCTTTAGATACCATATTATCTAGGCCCCAATGCTCTGCTGGTAGGATCTGTAAATTTGGTTTGTTGAAGCAAAGTCAATTTTGTACAACCTTACAGCTATTATTCAGGATTTTGCTAGACTTGTTAGTAATAAGATGAAGGGGTATTTGGTATTTTTATAAGAAAGCTGTTGAACCAGCCACTTGAGAATCTGAACTTAGTAGATTCTGTATTGGAATAATATTTGATAGAGATCTCCTTACTAACATGCTGAAACCACCTGCACCTTACTGCTATTTCAGATGCTTTCCAATAGCAAAACCAGTCATATAAGTCATGCTCTATTTCTTTCCACTTTGCCTGTCTTGTCTTACCCATATATCTTGTCTTTGTCTCCCCTTTTGATAAACAAACTTTCCTTCTGCCTCTTTCTTTTTCCAGCAAGTCAGATTTGTTTTAGGAATCTTAAATTATATCATTCCCTCTGCTGGTGTTGATTTTCAAAATGTGATTAGCCTAATTGATATACTACATTTTAACTTCCTATAAGAAAGTACTCTCAGCTTACAGCTAACTGTATAGGATTGGTAGAGATTTTTGCTTTATCTTCAAGTTGGTAGAGCTTATAAGGAAGTAGATAATTGTTTTTGTTTCAGTCCTGGTTTTTTTTTTTAACTTCTGCATAAAATTTATTACTAGAGAGAGGTAGGAATTCAGGTAGAAATCAATTGTGCCAAATCTTTTTGAGTAATCATGGTATTGTTATTAAGTTTTACATATATTGATTGTGTTCTAGAGCTGTTTTTCAAACAGTTACCTGAATAAGTATACCGTCAATTCTATTTACACTTATTTTTGTTAAGGTATTAATGAGATAAGATTGAGAATCATGAGCTCAAGTTCCAGTTTTGTATTTCAAAACAGTATTTTGATTTCTTTTTTTCAAATTCCATTAATTTCTATAAGTCTTACCTTATTTCAAACTATTAGTATGATGTTCAATAGAGTGAGTTAATGCAGTAGTTTTTCTTAACTTTTAATGAGTACTAATGATAAAGGTTTAGTTCTAATAATAGGAACTTCAAGAAAAGAATTAGTAGGTCTAGAATGGAAAATAATAATAGTAAAGTTTGTAACGAATGAGTAAAAAAAGGGAAAAACAGATGATAATTGTAATAGGTTAGATACTTTATAAATATTATTCTGGCCATAACTAATCTGTTATACTAAGTAATTCAGAATAAGAA